TAATAGCACAGGGCGCATTTGCTTTACTTGGGATAAATTTTTACACTCTGAGAAGCAGAAGCATTGTGATTGCACCATGGCTAAGGGTGCATTGTATGAAAAGCCAGATCTTGAAAAGAGCTGGATGTAATAGTTATTCAATGTAATTGATAGTACTTTGCATTGGTGACTTGTTTTTTATTAAATTATGTGCCTTTGAACCTCTAGAAAGAACAAAGTTGTTCTTGTTATGCACTGTCAAATTGTCTCCAACTAAAGGGGACCCCATGAATGAAAAATGTCCTTTCCGTGACAGCCCTGCTCAGCTCCTCTAAGTTCAAGGCTGTCAATCCATCTCATTTTTGGAGCAAGAACAATGCAGAACTAACATTCAGAGCCAATTACAATACAATAAGATGCCACCTACTTTTATACTATGTCTGGGTTTCATCACCAGGCACAGGAAGTGCTATGGGTTTGCTACTCCAAGGTGTGGTTGAACACAACTGTCTGCACCTTACCCTGTGCCGTACCCATTTTTATCTCTAAACAGCCGTCATTGCCGATACCAGGAATCAAGAGCCCATACTATTGCAGGGGCAAAGCAATTCCTCTGGTCTCCTTCTTTACTGCTCTAGCAAGAGTGATCCACGATGCATCTATTTAGAACTAGGCATGAAAATGGGAAGTGTACTGGTCTGAAGACTTGCTTTAAATTCCCAAGTTTAATAGTTTATAAACTCTTGTAGCAAATCTTCCCTTTATAGCAAAAAAAAAGAAAAAAAATCCTTGCAAAAATTTCCCTACCGACTTTTCTACAGGTCTGCCAGAGAATACTCATGCGATGGGGCGGCATATAAGTTGTTTAAATAAATAAATAAATACTGCCCTGAAAGGTCCTCTCTGCTTGCCTTTCTCTAGTATGTGGCTTTGCTCATTCTCGAGTCAACTGCAAGCATTCTCTCTTTTGGTACTTCTTTGCAGTTGACATGCTCTTTGTGGCTCATCGAGGACGGCCCTCTGCATCACAGACGTTGCTGCATCCCCCAGCTTTGCTGCTGGGCATGACTGCCTCACTCTGCCTAATGGTAGGACCAGCCCTGTGAGTCACGTTAGTCCGGGCTGCAAGCACTGGTCTTGGGATGATGGTGGGTGGATGATCTCCTTTGTTTTGAGTGGAGATTTGGCCTTGGTGTCTGTATGATCTTCTAAAGATCAGGGCTCCTTCCATTATCTTCTCATCCCACTCTTCTCTTGTCTTGCTAGTGAAGCAAAACTATGATAGATCCTTAGTCCTTGGCCATAGCTTCCATCTTCCATCCGTAACATTTCCTCTCAGTCCTTATGGAGTCCTTGACCAACGACATAGAGTTCAGGGTGAGAAAACGACTTTCCTGCAGCCCTGCCCTCAGAGAAACTAGAGCTATTCCATCCATCCCCCTCCTTCGGAGGGCAATCTTCCATGCTGCAAAGAGAAAAGACATACAAGACAAAAGTCAGACGAAGTCAATTTGGAAATAGAATGTGTTAATACAAGAAGGACTACCAGACATTTTGAAAAGCCAGTGGTCTGTTTTTCTCATACAAGGTATGCTCCAGATACTTTAGATACCAACTTCCAACATTCCTTGTGGCTGATAAGGATTGTAGTCCAAAACATCTGGAGGTCACCCGATTGGGAGAGTCTGTCAGATGTTTGTTACTGTGAAATCCACCCTCTATTCTGTGTTTAATTTCAATTGCCTTACATCAAGACAAAACCCTATACAAATCCATTGGAAACCAACAGCCAAGAATATTAGCTCAAGCCCTCCAGGTTAACCCACATTCTGCACCAAAAAGAAGACTTTGATCATTTATGCAAAGCAGGAATGGCCAGATTCTACTTTTTTGTTCAGAGGGCTGTTGATTCCACACCACAAAGGACTCCACGCTGATTTCTATGCGACCATCTTTTACTTCTCTGGGCAGGAATACCCAGAGAAGTCATGTGAAAAAGTCAAAGACCCACATAAGGCTGTTTTTCAAAAGCAATGTGTAATGTAACATGGGGTGGAGGTGGCTGTTCAGAGAAAAATACAAAATATCCTAGTCAATAGGGCAAGCCTTGGACATGCATAAAGAAGCTTTAGGAACCTGGCCATTGGAGATTCTCGCAGTGCAAATCCACATGGGTTTCATGGGAAACACAATGAGAGAGAGGAGAGTCTTGCATTCTGATCACAACTATATATATTGCAAATATTCTGCACAGGTTTATCAGAATTTGCCATCAGATCTATTCAGACAGATACGTTAGTTCCTTTATGCAGGGACATGCTGCCCTGTAAATAGGGTGTAAATAGGGTCATTGATGATAGTCATATATAGTAGAATATATATATATATTGTATCGGGCTACTTTATTAAATCAAGTCATTGCCAGAATGGTAAAAAAGGAGTTTCAGCATATGCAACAGATTTGAAGGCTTGAAAAAAGAAAGAAAGATTTGGTACAAACAACAGAACACCAACAAACAGAAAGATGTACCTACACAAAATTTGTACCTGAATTTTGTGTATGTTTTGTTTAGGTTGAGTCAATCTTATAAAGACATTATTTTAAAAACATTTAGTGTAACAATATACTTCTATATTTATCTACTGAGAAGTAAGTTGCAGTTGCTTTGGAAGCCTATTCCCAGGTAAGTGGACATAAAAGTGTGGCCCAAAGCATTTAAAATAGCAATATGGGGAAAATATGCATGTGACCCAGACCCAATAAAAAAACTATCCCAACTGTGGAACTATTCATATCTAAAGGTTTGCTTTGGGTATGAGTCACGAAACCAAATCCACAGCCTTGAGTAAGGTGGAATATTTGAACAGTATTTCTTCTAAGCTCTTAACACAGCTGCTGCCCCGTGGGAAGGCTTTTAAGCTGATATCCATCACTGAACTAAAATAAACTTTTTTCCCTATTATACGTGCACAAATCCTATTATGGATTAGCAGGATTGGTTTAAACCTAGCGATCGTGCTGTGAAAACGTGCCCCCCAGGGCTGGTTCCCCGCCAAAGGCACAGCAACTTACCCTCCTCGTTATGTGACCAGATGGTTACTGGTTCCCATAGCTTAAAGCACCCTGGATACTTATGAGGCTACAGCAGACGCAAGCTCTCTAATTGGGGACAGTGACACACCTCTTTCAAGAGACTGTGGAGTTAGGAGGAAGCACAAAATGCACAGCAACCTGATATCAGGGCCTGCTTACATAATCACTTATTCTGGGCTAACTACCCCCAAACATCAGTCTCACACTTGTTTATAAGATGCAAGCCTGGACCTAAGGGTGGAATGAGCCCGTTAAAAATAAAACCAAAATAAAGCATGACAAGATCAGAGGCTCTTGACTAGCCTCTCTTACCTCCCAGAATAAGTGTCCGTGTAACAAAATCGCAGGGATACTTTTGCTATCGGGCTAAGAGATTAGCTAGGCTCTTGCTGACAACTTAACTAGATATTACAGGAGTGTGGAAGCGGCAATCTTACGTTCGCGTCTCTTTTCCGGGAAATGCTAGGAAAGCAAAATGCATGAAGTGAGCCCCTGCATTACATCTCTCTCAACTTCACTGGCTGTCAGTCACAGCTAGAATGACTCACAATGCGGCGCTGCCACTTCATGCACATTGCAACATGACACATTGCTGGAGGAAAGACAAGGAGGAGATGCAGAATGTTACTTTTGCTGATATGGATCCTGTAATGACTAGTGAATCCTGGCAACTATTCATCACAATGTGCGTCTCACCATCTGGTAAACTGAATAATCGTCCTGCCAAGCAGCGGAGAGAGATTTACGGTGTGGTAAAAGTCACCTTTGGGAGGAGTGGCTGATGGATCTATGGGTACTTGTGTTAAGTTTTAGGCTAATAAACTCAGAATAAAAAGACCCTGAGCCCTGGCTGTGAAAACTGTCCCTTAAATTGACTGTCACTTCCCATAATGTTATCAGAGCACTTTCAGGGTTGTATATTTTTGGCTAAAAGGCTTAGTGCATGCTGCTCAACCGCACATGTGCAATGGAAGAATTCTCCTTCACATGCCTATATAAGCTAGTTCTATTAACAATTAATTTAATCATACCAATATCAGTCCTTTCAAGTAACACATGGAAATATACACATGCTTTAAACTGCAAGGGGGGAAATGGTTCTTGGGGTAAAAACAAAAAGTGGCAATTTGGCACATAAGTTACAGCCACAGGGGACAATTTATCATATTGTTGCTTCATTGCTAAGTGTGAAAGCCAAGCTTTTACTATTTGTTAAGTATCCAACTGTACGTCCTCCTAAAGTATCCCAGAGTGATGTACAGTACTAAAAGTACAATATAATAAAAATGGTGGCGTACAACCCATCAGTCTTCATGGACAATGAGACCAAAAGGCATCAAGATCTTAAACTACCAAGCAGAACCTGGCACACAGGAAAGTTCGGACCTGGTGAAGCAAGTGTGACTTCTTCACCTTTGATCATGCAGTTGTTGCATCAACATGCCATCTTTCCTTCCCCCAGGAAGCTCAGAGAGGTGCTTAGCTTTATCATCACGTTGAAACAGGGCATCTAAGGCCACCCAGTGAGGTTCACAGGTGGTCAGAGATTTGGGATCCCGGGTTTCCCACACCCATGCCCAGCTCTAGCACTCACTGCAGTGCCATGTGAAGAGCCAGTGTTGGTGCTGAGGCTGTATTGGTTCTCCATCTCTGGCATGAGCTGCCAGAGGCAAGGACAATCAGGGTGGTAGCTATGACCCTTGATGCATCCGAAGAGTACAGTCTTTACCACATTTTGCAACTCCTACTCACACGAGTGCCGTTTGTGAGGCAACGTAGCTACTTTGCAGAGTATACACCTGCAGAGTTTACATAAATGCAATGTAAAGAAGAATGTGTTGCATACAATTTCGGTCCTACCTAAAGTTGGCCCATTGAAATGAACAAGACTCCTGTTACACAAACATTGGCTACAACCTGTTGTTTCTTACCTTGTTTGGCTAAGCACAGGCTCACTGCCAGCTGCAGCAAACGATGGTAGTGGAAGTGGGAATCCTGGCCTGCGGTCAGAGAAGCTCCTCCGAACAAAAGGCTGGGGACCGGTAGCACTGAAGCCCATCCTTTTCTGTTGGTCCCCATTTTGCCTGAGCTGTGTGCTGTTTCTCCTCACAAATGCTGAGAGCTCAGGATGTCCCATGATGGCCTCTGCTGTGGAGCTGTTTGGTGGAAGCACCGGTTTGGCTTCAAACAATGAGGAAGTGGCTGGACAAAATATGGAGCGTACATTGCTGACAATCTTTGGGGAGGGAGATTGCTGTTCGTCCCCAGAGTCCCAGTGGGTTTGTAATCCTTTGTGCAACCTGGAGGGGGACGTGGGTGGGGATGGGGTCACTGAGAAAGGAGATGGGCTTGCTTCTCTGTGGTGGGTTGGTGGACTGGGCACCTTACGAGAGATTGGTGAGGCCTGTTTGCGTGTCGTTGGTGGGCTAGAAAGGTTTTGTTGAGTTGGTGGGGAAGGCAGTTTTCTTTGTGTTGGAGGGTTTGAAGCCTTGGGGTTTGCTGGGGGACTAGGCTGCCAGTGGGTTCTGGGTGAAGAAGCTTGATTAGTATGCTTGTGATGCAGTGGTGGGCTTGAGAGCCTTTTCTCACTGGGAGGTGATGAAGGTGGTGTTCTCACTAGAGACACTCGTCTGACAAACCCCGTTCTTTTTTCATTTTTCTGGAGTGAATCAGGAGAGCTTTGCTGTTGAGCTAAAGCAGGAGCAGCAGTACATTCTTTGTTTCCTGGATCACTTTCTTTAACATTTTGAAGAGGAATGATTTTATGGGACTGCTTATACAAAACTGCTGTTTCGTCCATTTCAAGATCCTTTGGGGATGCTAATGGAATGTCTTGGTGATGGTTGGACAAATGGCTAGAATTCATCTCTATGGGAGATTTTCTAGGTATGGAATCCACTCCACCAGTTTTTGATGCTTTGTTGGCTATCACGTTGGGACGGCTGAGTTTCTTGCTAGGTAACAAGTCAATAGAACATAGGGAAGCTTTCATTCGTTGGGAAATTTTCTTAGTGCTATTATTTTCATTTCTCTTGGTAGAGTTTTTGGTAACTTCTGAAGAGTTTTCTCCAGTCCTTGCACCTTCTACAGGTTCAGCTGAATCCAGCAAAATGTCCATTAGCATTTCAGGAGGTGGTGGGGGCAGGTTTTCTAAGTCATCATCTGTATCATCATTTGTATCACTTCCACTTGCAAGTGCCAATGAACCAATAGTACTGTTTGCTCGGTTGATGTTTTGATAATTTATGTCCCCTAAAGGTAAGATTCTATGTTTGTGATTTAAAGGCACAAGTCTTTTAGGAAGAGAGAAACTAGGAGTAATACTGGGAAGTCCAAACTTTCTGATACATTTTATTGGGCCCAGAGTTCTTAAACTTGTAGGCTGCAGCTGACTTTCAGGAGAGCTGAAGGTTTCAATTAACTTTTTTACAGATTTACGAGGTGGAGTACAACCAACACTGTTCAGTTTCTGTGTCTCAGGAGAGTCATTTTCTTTCTTAGATGCCAGATCCTTTGATGGTGTGGTGGTTATGACAGTCTTTTTACATTTCTTTTCATTAAATTGTTTGTTAATACCATTTTGATCATGCCTACACAAAGGGACTTTATCTTGATTAGGCAATATGCTGAAGTTCTTAGAAAGAGATGCTTTCAGTTTATTAGTGGAAGATCTATGAGTAACATGCTCAGAATCCTGTAAATTAGATGGTTCTTTTGGGCTCAAGGATGCCAAGTTACTTATTTCCTTGTTTCTCTTAAGTGTGTAAAACATTTCCAACCTTTTGCTGAGTCCTTTTTGAGTCCTTTGAAGTTCTAGAAGAGTTGGGTCCTCATTGTGACTTTTGAGAGACTCCTCAGACCGAGATCTTTTCTGTTTAACTTGAGATTTCTGACTTACAGTTGCTGTACTAGGTCGACGAGGTCCCTTTCCATTTTCATCTTCCATCCATTCCCTTTTACCAGATTTAGCTGGGACAAATTTGATCTTTTCACTAATGGCATCTTTCATCTTGAGTATAATCTCTTCATTTTCCTGGCTGTCTGTCTGCTTGGTGGAAGGCCTCCGTTTACTGGCTGTTGCTGTAGGTAGAGATGCTGATCTTTTAGGTAAAGCATCGTTTTCAGACAGACTTATATTGTCTCCATCTTCCTCAGACAAGCTATTATCATCACTGTCTTCATATGCAGAAGCATGGGATGATTCACATTCCACATTCTCATCAGCAACATCACAGGGCACAGAGTTAAGAGAAGGAGTTTCCATGATGTTTTGATGTTGGAAAAGGGTGTTAACATTTTCTGGTACTACCTGTGAAGATGGCATTGCATCCTTGGTGTGCGCAGGAGGGAAAAATATGTCCTTAAATTGTCTTTCTAGTGCACAATCATGGGACCTGGATGCAGAAAATACTGAGGTGCATGGCCACTGGCTTTCTCCTGATATCCTGGTCTGATTCAGGGATGAATGAACATGTGAACAAGAAGCAAAATTTGCTTGTAGTCCCTGTTTATCCATTAAATTCAAGTCTTTGACTGATTCTGTGTCAATACCTATTCCACTGTCTTCAGAATAAAGAGTCATATCATCAGGGTGAGGATGAGAGGGACCAACAGCAGATATTTCAAGGAGTTTTATCATCCTGAGCAATCGTTCATCAAAAACTTGTTTTGCTTTCAATTTTTCTTCTAGGTTGTTACCTGCAGACTGTAAAAAGCTGCAGGACTCCTGGAGTGCATCAGAAGTTAAGGAAGCCACGGTTCCATTTAAAAGCTGCATTTTGTTGACTGTGTACTGCAGCAACTGTTGTAGGAGATCTGGATGCTCATTTGGGTTCCCTTTGCCAGCTGGCCAAGCCAGGTTCTCCCCTACTTCTTTGACGAGGTCTTCTCCATCTTGGGCAATTTCTTCCAAAAGATGGTTTATTTCATCAAAACGAAGAAGTAAAAAGCTCACCATTTGTTGCATAATTAACTGCGTTTCAGTGGCCTGGTTGGCCATGCACAAGATAACTTCATATTTAGAAAGATTGGGGTTTAGATAAGCATAAGCATTTTGATGTGCCTTAACAAGCAGATCTGGGAAATCTACCTTTTTCTCACCCTCATGTTCAGATGGACTGGATTTTTCTTTCGTTTTGCCATGACGACCCTGTTTACCCTGCTTGTTCCGTTTTTTCCCTTTCTTTGCATTTTGCTTCTCCTGGATGTCATTTTTGTCTTCCAAAATAAAACCATGGTTTTCCAATGCAGAAGGTTTTTGCTTTTTGATTGTAATATCCTCTGCCACATACTTGTCAGTCTCCATCAGTTCAGATATGGCTATTTCAGTTTCTGAGACTGCCTTTTCCATTTCCTTCTCTTCCAAGTCAAGCTCAGGTAGTGAAGGATCCTCAGATGAAGAATGGAAATTGACATTTTTGTCATCTGAGGAATTTTCAATGGAGTGATCTTTAATTCGAGTCTCTCCCCGACAGAAGTCTTCAGTATCGTAAGAAGAAGCGCTTTTGATCAGCAATGGAAGTGAGAAACCTTCACCCCCTGGATTAATTGGCAGGATACCTTTATGCAATGATTTTGTTCCATGATTTGCATTTTGCTCAGCAATATCACTACGAGAAGGTGTGCAGCCCATCGTGCTCTCTCTTCCTAGCTCACTGCTGAGAAATATCCAATTGATCAAGTAAGGAATAAAAAAAGGGAACGAGAACTTACACGTTCAGCTGATGTTAGGATGTGATGATTTTGAGTGAGGTCCAATCTTGAATAGTCCCGCTTTTGTAAATTTCCTTATTAGCCATTCTAAATTTCCAACTTTCTCGGTGCATCTCTTAACAAAAGTATGCAGTGCTTTCTTCCTTTAAGAGCTTCTATCTGAATGCAACCAGCAACTGAAACTGTTGCATTTAGACTAAGATAGTGGATTACTCGTGCTTGTGTATCTTGCGGGCGCCTTGACAGATGTCAACCAGATATAAGATTTTAAGCTCATTAGGCTAAGTAGCCCTGTAGCAGGCCTTTTTTGTTATGCCCTGCATTTTACAAATGTGATTGGTATGTATTGTAACACATTTCCCCACTCTGCCTAATTCTAAACAGTACTTGGCACTCTGAAAAGCCAAAGAAAAAAAGTAGTTCAAGTCAGTTCTTCCAAGAAATGCAATTTGAATGGCAAAATGCCAGTGCATAGACAACTACAAGGACAAAGCATGACCTTGGATGGATAATACTGATCAAGAGGACAGCACAACACAGAGAGTCAAAAGAGGTGAGAGATGGAAAAGCCTATTAGGTTATCCAGTCTAGAGTTCCTCAGCCTTTTCTGACCTGCAACATCAGAGCAGTTTGGCTTTCTTTCTGACATATCATGTGCGTGCACTTGAGGACTTTCTCCAAGAGGACTTTGTGTAGCTTCAGCTACCTCCCTTTTAACCTACAATGCTACATGTACAGCAACACTTCAACCAAGTTAAATAATTATCCAAAATCAGTATGCGTACACAGTTGTTCTTTTTCATTTCTACTTGATTTCTTCAAGTGTTTACATGTAAAGTGGAAGACCTTCTGCAACAAGCCTTAGATGGCCTATGAATTATTCACCAGGGTTATGTTTCTTAGCATCACGATTGCACTTAGCAATCTATTCAGTGCCCAAAGGGTGGATGAACACAAGCGGGTGCTGTTGATTAGTCTAATGAAAATATCCTTCAGGTGATCTTGGATGGGTTTCAAAAACAGGTTACCTTCTGTACAAACTAGAGATGCAATCCATTTGCATTCAGAACATACGCTACTCCAGCGAAAGTTTTCACAGACCTGGGTGATCTAGTTTTATGTAAAGTTTTGACTGCTATTAATAATGTCTATATTATGAGTATAAGATTATTGTACAATTATCACCCCACATTTTCCCCACAGAATCACAATTGAATCACAATCCATAATGTTATGGAGTATTTATTTTAATTTGATTTTGGTTAATTTATTGGTTGCATTTATTTGGGGTGTGGGGTTAAATTTTATTATGAGATGTTATCTATTATTTTATCTGAATATTAATTGTTTTAATATATTCCATGCATGTTCTTATGATGTTTTAGCATTTGTAAGCTGCCCAGAGAACCTTAGGGTCATGGGGAGGCATAGAAATGGAAATAAATTAATAATACCAGGTCTGCAAACTAATTTAGTATTGGAGATATAGACATGGTTTGTGTGCCACTAATAGCAATAACTGAAACTTGGTGGGACAAATCTCATGAATAGAATTCAAAAATCAGTAGATTCAACCTCTTCAAGGAAAAAAGAAGGGATAAAAAGGGAGGTGAAGTCTCACTATACATTAAAAACACCTATACCTGCAGTGAATTTCAGGAGCAGGAGCTACGTAGTCACATTGAGTGCATCTGGCTCAATCTAGGAGGAACAAAAAACAAAAGCAGCATTGTCATCAGCATCTATTATTGTCCCAGCCAATCAAGGAGAGTTTGAGGATGCTATCTCTGAAGAACAAGCTGCCAGTGTTGCAATGAAGCCTGACGTAGTCATCACGGGGGAGTTCAACTTCCCTGATATTTGCTGGGAGAAATGATCTGCCAAGCATGGCCCCTCCAAGAATTCCTGGCATGTGTCACCAATAACTTTCTCCAGAAGAAGGTGGAGGAAGTGATGGCAGAAACAGCAACACTAGACCTGGTACTTACCAACAGGGAGGTTCAAGTGGACAGAGTAGCAGCCACAGGTTCCTGGGAGAAAGTGACTGTGCCATTCTTGAATGCTCAGTTATGGAGATGGCAAAAGTCAGCTGCAGCCAAGCTTGACTTAAGGAGAGCCAACTTTAAGAAATTCAAATCAATGATAAGTAAAATCATCTGGCAACTCATCCAAAAGGGGAGGGAAATCTTATAAAAAGAAATTCTCAAAGCACAGCAAGAACTAATCCCAACAAGAAAGTGCAAATGACAATGAAAGGAAACCCTCATGGCTCCACAAAAAGTTAGGATGACAGTTTGAAAGCAAAAAAGGACATGCACAGGAAGTGGAAGGGAGGCCAGGCCACAGAAGAAGAGTATAAACATACAGCAAAGACTTGCAGGGATGGAGTCAGGAAGGCTAAGGCAAGTTATGAACTGAGGCTAGCAAGGCTTCCTAAAAGCAGCCAGAAAGTCTTCTTCAGTTATGTCCAAAATAAAGGACGAATGAAAAAGAGGGGTGTTCAACATGAATAGCAAAATGGTAACAGATGACAAACAAAAGGCAGAGGTGCTCAAGCTCTTACTTAAGCTCAGTCTTCTCCTAAAAGAGAAAATGCATCCTAGTGACAGAGGAGGATGTGCAAGATGAAAGGGCAGGATGGCAGTCTAAGAGCAACAGACAAAAATTTTCAGGTGACACAAAACTGAATAGAATAGCTAATACCCTGGAAGACAAAAAGAAGATTCAGGGTGTCCCAGACAAGCTATAATGCTGGGTGGAAAGCAACAGAATGCAGTTCAACAGGGACAAATGCCAAGTTCTCCATCTAAGGAAAAACCAAATGCATTGATACAAGATGGGGAATACTTGGCTCAACAGCACTGACCTTGGAGTTGTGGACAACAAGCTAATTATGAGCCAGCAATGTGATGCGGCCGCAAAAAGGGCAAACATTATTTTGGAATGCATAAATAGAAGTATCACTTCCAGAACAAGAGAAGTACTCATTCTTCTTTTCTCTGCACTAGTCAAACCTCACCTGGAATATTGTGTTCAGTTCTGAGCACCTGGGTTTTAAAAATATGCAGAAAAACTAGAAAGAGCTCAAAGGAGAAAACAAAGATGATTCAGGATCTGGAAACTAAGACTTGTGATGAAAGGCTGAAGGAGCTGGGCATGTTCAGCCTCAAGAAATGACTATGAGGGAGTATCATAGTACTCTAGACGTACCTCAAAAACTGTCACAAAGAGGAAGGGAAAGTCTTCTCCCTGAATGTAGGACATGGAACAATGAATTTGAACTACAGTAAACCAGGTGCAGATTAGGCATAAGGAAAAAATTCCTAACTGTTGGAGCAATATGACAGTGGAAACAATTGCCAAGAGAGGTTGTGGGTTCTCCCACATTAGAGACATTCAAGAGGGACCTGGAGAGTCGTCTGAGTGGGATGGTGTGACTTGGCATCCTGTACCAGCAAGGGGTTGGTCTCGATGAATTAATGCTACTACTATTCTATGAATCTATAACATGACAAGCAACCATCAATTGCTATCAACAATTGTTTGTCATATCGTCCAAATCTAGGCTTTGGCGATATACTATTCTGACTTATTGGCTGAATTCACACAAAATGACAAACCATGCTAGAAACCACACAGGCGTGGTGTGTCATCATGTGTGAATTCAGCATCCATGGTGAAGCATGGCATGTTTGGTTTCCATGAATTCACATAGAGAAACAGCAGCTTGTTGTAAAGTTTCCATGTTTCACATGGTTTGTCATTATATGTGTGACCTGTTACAACAATTCTGGGCAATTTCCACAATTTCCACAATTCTGGGCATCTCTGCAATTCTGGGCAAGCAAGTTTGGTGGCAAGAGTAGCCATGGCAACAACAGATGTTCCCGCCTGTTTTGCCTAGCAACTGCTGAGGCAGCTGCAGGCACACTCTGATTGGCAGTTTTGTGCTGCTTTTCCCCGTCTGCTTGCTGCCTTCTTAATGCCCAGCCACAGCTCTGGAATACCAGCAGCAGCGGGCTTCATGCTGGGCCATCTCCAGCAGCAGTGACCACAGAGACGGCCATGCTTGGCACTCTTGCCCGGTTGCTGCATTTTGTGACAGCCACACTTGCACTTTGCCAGTGCTCCCCGTTTGAGAAGGCAGTTTTGCCCACGAGGGGCACGCAGGCCCTGAGAAGCCCCGGTCTTCACACTCTCTCCCACCCTTCCTGCCACTCCCCTCCTGTCCCTGGCATTCCTGAGGGCGGCCAAGCAGCCCTGCTGCCCCCTTGCCACTGCTGTGAGGCAAGCTCATTCCTTCTGGCTGGCCAGGAGACTTCCCCAGGCAAATGCCCACATGGGCATCCTTGCGAAAATCCTCCCAACAGGATGCCCTCCCTCTGTCCTGGCATGGCCTGCAGGTGCAGATGCCACCCATATGCCTGGCTGTGGGGGGAAGCAACCCATGGCAGCATGTGCAACTCCCGCGCATAGGAGGCATGGGTACATGTGCAGTGAGGAATGGGGAGGGGCGCACGTGTGGGTAGGTGTGCTTGCACATTATCACACAGCCGGGCAGCAGTGTGGAGCGTTGCTGCAGTGCTCCTCTGGTGCAGCAATGCTGCTCTAGTGAGAAGGCAGTTGCTTTGCAGAGCACCAAGAAAGGGAGGATAAGGATGTTGCTTAGGCCACACCCGGAGGAGCACATGTGCCAATGAGAGAGGCAGGTGATGTAGGCAGGAGCAGTGCACCCTGGGATTGATATTCAGTCATGGGGGCTGGTGGGATACATGCTGCCATGGAAACCGTGCATAGACATCGCATGCATGTGTGACCCTAACACACAAGGTGAGATACCCTACCACATAGCATTGCTTAGCATTCCATGTGGACACAGCCGCTGGGGTTGAGAACCACAGAAAGAACAATGCTCTGTTT